AGTTTTGAAGTAAGGAAATGTGAGGAGTCATATGATGAAAGGCACTAAAGTCACAAAGTCAGACAGAAGAGGAGATACTTGAAGAGGACCCAAACAAACTTGACTGAAAATAAGTAAGAGTAGAGACAGATGAGGATGGCTGGAAGGTGGATAAGGGATGCTGAAGTTGAGCCATCTGGGCACGCAAGGACGCTAAGTTAAATCAGAAACTGGAGCAGATGCAGTATAAGTAGCAAGAGCTCGAAACTGTGTTTGCGGCGGTTGAGAAGACTGAGCAGACTGACGTCCCTTCTTGGGACAATTGTACTTCCAATGGCCCTTCTGATGGAAAAAATCACACTCATCAGAGGCTGTCCTGAAGCTGATGAGGTAGTGCGGTCGAAAACAGAGGAGGTTGAGTAAGAGCCAAGAAGACATATGGAGACAGAGTCTAACTGGCCGTCGTAAGACAGGTTTCCTCGGAGAGGAGCTTACGAACAATAGTATCCACAGAGGGAAGAGGAGACCAACGAAAGATGCCACTACGAATAGCCTCATATTGAGGAGAGAGAGCCGTTAAGAACTGCACTAAACGACTTTGCTCCCGAAACTCAACATTAGCATCTAGGGCCTCAAGGCTAGATGGTTTCATGAGAGCCAACTAATCCCAGAGACCTGTCATCTCAATGTAGAAGTCCTGAATAGATTGATCCCGCTAACGAGCACTCTAAATAGCTATTTCTAACTCATACCGTTTGGCAAAGTTGGACAACTGATACACACTTAGTAAATAGTCCCACACTCATTAGCAGTACTGTATGTGGAAAACATCATTCCAATGCGATCATCCACAAAATTATTAAGCCAACTTGGGCATTATGGCAATCCCAAGTGTCACAAGAAGTCAAATATCCTTCGTATTTTGGGTCTAATGGATGAGGAACAAAACCAGAAACATAGCCCCACTTTTTTTGACCAAGAAATTTTTTTTTTTATAACACTAGCCCAATAAGCATAATTGGCACCAGTAAGTTTACATCTGATGGCTTGGATTTTGGTGTCCGTCATAATAATAGAACAGGAATATATTAAAGAGAGAATTAATAGGCCAAAGAGTAATAAGCCAAGAGAGACTAAAAACAAACAAATGAACACACACACACAGAGAGAGAGAGAGAGAGAGAGAGAGAGAGAGAGAGAGAAATTTAGCCCTTGCGATCAAGTCAGAGGCCAACAGACTCGATGAACCACGATGTTCGACGATGCAAGGAGCTTTAACCAACAACTAGGACTGAGGGAAAAAGAGAGGTCGTGAACCAGATAGAGCCAAGGAGAAGACTGATGATTGACGATAGATGATAGATAAAGCAAAGAGCTTCGATCAACAACCAGGTCTGAGAGGAAAGAGATCGACAATGCTAGGGTTTCTCAACCTGCTCTAATACCATGTAAGTTTTCTGTGTATTCAACTTGTATTTCAATTACATCAAGACTGTAGTTTATATAACCCTAGCGCCTAAACCAAAAAGGAAATACAAAACCATGCCTAATATATACACAATCATCCCTAACATATACACAATCATGTCTATATACGATTATATTCTCACAATTATTCTTTAAACCATAACAGTTCTTAAAAATAACTCATTCTTTAAGTGAAATCATAATGTTGCATGTCATAGATCAATATAAACAAATTCTATATATATGTACATTATTCACAATTATACTTGTATTTTTATTGGGATTCTACAATTCAACCGAAAGAGAAGACAGAAAGGAGAAATTTACAGTGAGCAACGGGGATGGAAGACGAGAGAGAGATAAAGAGAGGGAAAGCGAAGAGAAATGGAGTCTAGTAACGGATATAATTTTGTATTTTAATGCTACGATTATAAGAAAAATTTCAGGAAGATTTTTTATTATTTCATTAGTGTATGGTGTTTTATTTTAGGTGTAATTCAAAGGTGCTTTAATGCTAAGATCATGAAAAAAAATTCAGGAAGATTTTTTATTGTTTGATTAGTGTATGATATTTTATTTTATGTGTAATTTAAAGGTGCAAAATTTTCATGAAGTATTCCATAATATCTTTTTCATAATTCCGAACATTATTCAAAATGTGATTCTAACCAATTATAGCGACACCCAGTACACTTCAAATTTTTATATTATATTTTTTAATAAATTTTTAATTTAATAAGAAAGGTCTTACTTCAATTACAAATTTGGGCCAAATTAAACCCCGATTAAGGACCATGTGTCCATGGTTGGAATAGATGTAGCAAATGGGTCGATTTGGTCGGGTCAAGACAACTTATGTATTTAAAATAATTTAATATAAAGTCGCTTATTTAATAAATAAATGGGTCATTAATTTTATCTTCTTTTTTTTTCCCCCAACAACAACGGCGATAACGGTGGTGGTGGTGGAGGTGATGGTAGTGATGGTAGATGAGGGGGTGGTGGAAAAGATAATTTGAAATATAATAATAATGGTTAAATAAAGAAAAGAAAGAACAATCAATAATTTGGAAATGTATAAAAAAAACTACATTAAAAATAGCTCCAATTAACGAGAAGGTTTAAGAAAATCTTTCAGCTGTGTTGGCATATCCATTCCATTCAAAATAACATTACGAACTAAAAATTCTAAGCACAAAAGGTCATCGGTCACTCCAAAAATTGTACATGGTTTGGTTATTAGATCGAAGAACTTCAAAGTATCATTAACCACTACAACATTGTTCTCGTTAAATCCAACAGTCACAAGATCTTGATTATATAAATCCAATATAAACTTCAACAGGCACCTACAAAGAAACAATTTCAAATTAAGTTATGCTAAATGCCTAAATTTTATTTATCAAAATCTAAATTACATTATATACAGGTATACCTAATCAAATAACGGGCTTTTTCTCCAAGCTGCAAATATAATCCCCTGACGAAAGGAACCTTGTCGTATGAAATCATGGGCCAGCGTCGAGTGTTCAAATATTTCAAATAGTCTGTCAAAGTCATGTCGTACGACTCTTATATGATCGAACCACCATTGCCAAGTGAACAGTCACCATAAAATGATCGTAGAAAATATCTATGTGTTAAGTGTTTTGAACTATAGAGGATAGCTTGATATATCTTGAAATCATCATAACGCTTAATAACTATCTCGGGTCCCTTGGGAAGGATACCCGGGCTGAGAAGGTTAGTGTCATCATTTGTGAAGTACTTGCAACTAACAATGTGAAGCTGTAAATAAAATGTATCGCGTTATAGATGCATGTCCATAAACAAGATTCACTAACAAAAAAAAAAAAAAAAAATTACCACTTACCAACATTGCACTCAATTACAGCTCAAAAAATACAAATCTACAACCAAAAGAAAGAAATAACATAAATTAGTTGGAAAAATTACACCACAATAATGTTACCCATCAAACAAAAGGAAAGTAAAATACAAACCGGCAGAGAAGCACCCCTTTTCTTAAAGGTAGTAGATTCTAAACAAATTAGAATTCTTGCATCTATAAACATGTTCAAGCGACCATTTTAATTATAATTCTGAGATATCATCTATCCTCAAATTGATGTGAGCCACCTATGATTCATGAAACTTGCTATTTCACAACTCCTAATTACAAATTGACAATGATACACCCAAAACCTGCTGAATTTCCAAAACAAGGCATACTTAACTTTTTGGACAAAACATCAAGAACCAACATATATAAAACCTTCATATACGGATAAAAAAAATAAATAAATAAAAACTTCATATCTGAATCTTTCCCTTTAAATTCAAATTATGATATGATATTAGAAATCTAACCAGCATTTTAAGCTCTCTACATTAACCTAATCATGGAGACAATCTTGCCTTTTAAAAAGTCTTTCTAACACACAGAAAAAGAAAGGTAAAAGTTTCATCCAATTTTGACAAAAAATCCCAAGATCAATTCCTTTTAACTTTGAAAAAATAAAGAACATTAACAAGAGAACTAGAGAGCTCAAGGGCTCTATTTTAAATACAGAATCAGGGAGTGCCATCAAAACAAACAAAAAAAGAAACCATTATACTGTAAATTTTCTGTATATTCAACTTGTATTTCAATTACATCAAGACCGTAGTTTATATAACCCTAACACCTAAACCAAAAAGGAAATACAGGACCATGCCTAATATATACACAATCAGTGGCGGAGCTAGGAAATTAGGTTAGAGAGGGCACTTATTAAATATAATTTTTTATTTAAAAAAAATCATGAGCAACATTAAGATTTTTATGAGTTAAATTTAAACATAAAAAATTACATACTCATTATTAATAAGAACAAATCAAAATTTTATAATAGTGTGGAATAGCTCGGTGTGGGATGATGATGTAACTTTGCAATTTTAGCACAAAAAATTATGGATCAAAATTCTTAATTTTAAAAAATAAAAACACATCATTTTTAGCACAAATTATTATAAAATCTATTTAATTTTCATTTGACAGAAAAATATTAAAATATGACATTACCTATAAATGATGTGTTTTGAATGAAAATTATTAAACAGTCTTAGAGTACCATATGGCGTTACCTACGTGATGCTCAAAGCATACAAAATCATAAATCACACTAAGTGGTATGTCAACTACTTGAAAATAATGAGTTCATTATATCCAATCTATAATATTTTTCGCTACACTATTGATTTAAACTACTATATAAATAATACCACATAATGTTCCCGAAGTATCAAATAACTACTTGTTATGAACAATATAATAAATCCTTAGCCAAAGAACATGTTAAGAAAAAAAAGAGAATACATTTTATACATGGTAATAACAAAAAAAAAAAAAAAAAAACATTCAAAATTGAGGGGGGCCACTTGACCCCCCTAGCCTTATGCTGCCTCCGCCCCTGTACACAATCATGCCTAAAATATATATATATATATAAACACAATCATCCCTAATATATACACAAGCATGCCTATATACGATTATATTCTCTCACCCCCGCTCAAACTTGAGGTGTTTTAGCCAAAAACATAAAGAGTTTGTCAAGAAGAAACCGAAAATGAGCAGTGGTGTGAGTCTTGGCCAAGAAGTCAGTAAGCTGTAAAGCCAAATGGACAAAAGAAAGCAAGATAGAGCCAGACTGGAGGTGCTGACGAACAAAGTGACAATCAATCTCAATGTACTTCGTGCGTTCATGGAAAACAGTGTTATGGGCAATCTGAATAGCACCATGGTTGTCACAGTGAAAAGACATCAGAGAGGACTGAGGAATGCCCAAGATAGAGAGGAGACATGAAGCCAGACAACCTTAGCAGTAGCATGAGCCATAGCATGGTACTCAACTTCGGCAGTAGAATGGGCAACAATAGTTTGTTTCTTATTTTTCCAAGAAATCAAAAAATCACCAAAAAATAGATAGAAACAAGTAGATTTACAGTCAGTAATATCACCAACCCAATCAGTATTAGTATAAGCCACCAAATCTAAGGAAAAGTAGAAGAAAACAATAAGCCTTGAAAGATAGTATCGCGAAGATAGGGAAGAATTCGAACCAAAGCAGCCTAGTGCAGAGAACAAGGAGCAGAAACGAACTAGCTAACCACATGAACAACATAGGCACGATCAGGGCGAGTAACGATTAGATAGACTAAGTAGCCCACAAGCTCGTGACACAAAATTAGATCATCTAGTGGGACACCATCAGTAGTGTTAAGCTTCACATTAAGCTCAATGGGGGTATCAGAAATTTTAGTGTCAGTAAGACTGGCACGGTGAATAACCTTATTGGCCAATGACGGACTGCAGCAACAGATATCAAAGTACAAATAGTAGTCATCTTGGCAACAGAGGCAAATGTCTCTTCATAATCAATACCATACTCCTATGAGAAACCTTTGGCAACAGTGAGTCTTGACTTTGTAGACCCATTTGCAACCAACCAAATTTTTACCAGCAGGCAAAGGAACTAACTCCCAAGTACTAGTTTTCTGTAATGCAGACAACTTATCCTCCATAGCTTGAATCCAATGGGGATTCTGACAGGCCTCCTTGTAAGATTGAGGTTCTGAAAAAGAATAAATAGTAAACAAAAAAGTACAATAGGAAGCAAAAAAACATGTATTAAACCAACCTAACTTGTTTGGTGGATGATGTGCTCGAGTAGGATATTGGTGTGCAGCAGGATCAGAGTCGTCAGAAGTAGCAGGATCAACCGTAGGAGTATAGACAACTAGTGGAGGAAGAGCCTGGCGACGAGAATAAACTAACAACGGAGAACGATGAGAAAAAATAGGTTGGGGAGAATGTAGAGAAAATTGAGTAAGGTCATGGGGAACAATAGAGATGTACTCATCATGAGGGACATCAGAAGGAAATGGATCAATGTGAACCAAATCCTCTTTAGAAACTGGAGTAGTGATAGGAGGAAACTGAAAGTAAGGCAGACGTTCGAAAAAAGAAACATGATGGGAGATGTAAAGATGATGGGAAATAGGGTCGTAAGACCGATAGCCTTTCTGAGTAAGACTATAACCCAAAAAGACATATAGGACAGATCGGACACTAAGTTTGGTCCGATCTTTACGGGGAAGAAGAACAAAACAAGCAGACCCAAACACACAAAGGAGGAAGTAATTGGGAAGTCGAGAGAACAGAGTCTTATAAGGAAACTGACCAGAAAGAAGGGGGATAAGCATGCGGTTAAGAAGAAAAACAACAGTAAGAACTTCCTCTCTCCAAAATGAAGCTGGAACTGAGGCAGAGAGAAGAAAAACTTAGCTGTATCAAGGAGATGACGGTGTTTACGTTAGACTCGACCATTTTGAGCAGTTGTATCAGTACAAGAAATTTGGTGAATGCTACCCAAATTGGCCAAATACTCACAGAACTCAGTTTTAAAATATTCCCCACCCAAGTTAGATCGTAACAATTGAATGGTAGCCCAAAACTGTGTAGTGATCATAGATTGAAATGTACGATATATTTAGTAGAAGTCAGATTTATGAGTCATAAGATAAACTCAAGTATAACAAATGCAATCATCAACAAAAGACACATAATATGAGGAACCCCCTTTAGTGAGAACAGGAGAGGGTTCCCAGACATCAATATGCACAAGAAAAAATGGAGAAATAGAAGCTGAAGTACTTTTAGTAAAAGGTAAAGCTGACATTTTGGTAAGTTTACACCCTTGACGTTCATCAATTTAACTAGGAGAAATTTTATCCAATAATCTTGACTGAACTAAAGACCGTAAGCAGTCAATAGACAAATGACCTAGGCGAGAATGCCATAAGTAAAACTGACTCGACTGAGAATCTAATTGAAATGAGGAAAAAGCAACTGGAGCGGTGGATAGAGAGAGATGCAAGCTTTCTACCACATAGAGATCTCCAACTCTACGACCGGGCCTAATCTACTTCTTGGACGCTTGATTCTGCACACAATAGACAGAAAAGGAAAAGATAACATCAAAACCAGAAGTATCAAGTTGATTGATAAATAATAAACTAACAGATAGTTGAGGAACATAAAGAACAGAGGGAATAGTAACAACAAACATAACAGAGGGTAAGACAGACCTAACAGATAGAATAAGCATACCAGACCCATTAACAGTATTAACAATAATATGAGAGAGAGGGGGGTGACAGTTTTGAAGTAAGGAAAGGTGAGGAGTCATATGATGAGAGATACCAGAGTAAAAAAGCCAGACAAAAGAGGAAATAGCTGAAGAGAACCCAAACAAACCTGACTGAAGAGGGGTGAGAGTAGAAGAAGATGAGGATGGATGGAAGGTGGACAAGAGATGCTAAAGTTGAGCCATCTGGGCATGCAAGGACTGAGCAGATGTTGTATAAGTAGTAGGAGGTCGAAACTATGTTTGAGGCAGCTGTAAAAACTGAGCAGACTGGCGTCCCTTCTTGGGACAGTTATACTACCAATGGCCCTTCTGATGGCAAAAAACACACTCATCAAAGGCTAGTGGCCCCTTCTTAGGTTTCGCATTTCCCCAAAACTAATGAGGTGGTCGAGTCGACAACATAGAAAGCGGAGTATGAGCCAAGAAGACAGATGTAGACAAAGTCTGACTAGCCATCTTAAGATGGGTTTTCTCGGAGAGGAGCTCACGAACAATAGCATCCACAGAGGTGAGAGGAGACCGATGAAGGATGTCACCACAAATAGCCTCATACTAAGGGGAGAGAGTCATCAAGAATTGCACTAAACGACCTTGCTCCCGAAACTCAACATAAACGTCTAGGGCCTTGAGGCTAGATGGTTCCGTGAGAACCAACTAATCCCAGAGACCTGTCATCTCAATGTAGAAGTCTTGAATAGATTGATCCCACTGACGAACACTCTGAATAGCTGTTTCCAACTCATACCATTTGGCAAACTTAGGCTGCTGATACACATCTAATAAAGAGTCCCACACCTCCTTAACAGTACTATATTTGGAAAACATCATTCCAATACGATCATCCACAGAATTATGAAACCAGATCAGAACTTGGGCATTATCAGTATCCCAAGTGTCATAGGAAGTCAAATATCCTTCTTATTTTGGGTCTAATGGACGAGGAACAGAACTAGAAACATAGTCCTATTTTTTCTGACCAAAAAGAAAATTCTTCATAACACTAGTCCAATAAGCATAATTGGCACCAGTAAGTTTACATTTGATGGCTTGGATTTTGCTGTTCGTCATTATAATAGAGCAGGGATAGATTAAAGAGAGAATTAATAGGCCAGAAAGTAATAAGCAGAGAGAGACTAAAAACAAATAAATGAACACACAGAGAGACAAGCTGAGAGAGAAATATACGAACAGAGAGAGAGAGAGAGAGATATATAGGAAAAGCCTTTGCGATCAAGTCAAAGGCCTTTGCGATCAAGTCAAAGGCCAACAGACCCGACGAACCACGATGATTGATGACGCAATGAGCTTCGACCGACAACCAGGTCTGAGGGAAAGAGAGAGGTCGTGAACCAGATAGAGCTAATGAGAAGACTCACAACTGATGATAGATGAAGCAAAGAGCTTCGATCAACAACCAAGTCTGAGAGGAGAGAGATCGACGGCATTAGCGTTTCTCAACCTGCTCTGATACCATGTAAGTTTTTTATATATTCAACTTGTATTTCCATTACATCAAGACCGCAGTTTATATAACCCTAACGCCTAAACCAAAAAGGAAATACAGAACCATGCCTAATATATACACAATCATGCCTAATATATATATATATATATATACACAATCATGCCTATATACAATTATATTCTCACAATTATTCTTTAAACAATAACAATTCTTGAAAACAACTCATTCTTTAAGTGAAATCATAATGTTGCATGTCTTAGATCAATTGTACATTATTTGCGATTTTACCTTTGTTTTTATTGGGATTCTGCAATTCAACCGAAAGAGAAAACAGAAAGGAGAAATTTACTGTGAGCGACGAGGATGGAAGACGAGAGAGAGAGAGAGAGAGAAATGGAGTCTAATAATGAATATAATTTTGAATTTTAATGCTTCGATTATGAGAAAAATTTCAGGAAGATTTTTTATTATTTCATTAGTGTATGGTGTTTTATTTTAGGTGTAATTCAAAGGTGCTTTAATGCTAAGATCATGAAAAAAATTTCAGGAAGATTTTTTATTGTTTGATTAGTGTATGATATTTTATTTTATGTGTAATTTAAAGGTGCAGAAATTTCATGAAGTATTCCATAATATCTTTTTCATAATTCCAAATATTATTCAATATGTGATTCTAACCAATTATAGCGACGCCCAGTACACTTCAAATTTTTATATTATATTTTTTAATAAATTTTTAATTTAATAAAAAAAGCCTTATTTCAATTACAAATTTGGGCCAAATTAAACCCTGATTAAGGACCAGGTGTCCATGGTTAGAATAGACAAAGCAAATGGGTCGATTTGGTCGGGTCAAGACGAGTTATGTATTTAAAATAATTTAATATAAACTCGCTCATTTAATAAATAAATGGGTCATTAATTTTACCTTCTTTTTTTTTCTTTTTTCTAACAACGGCGATAACGGTGGTAGTGGTAGTGGAGGTGACAGTAGTGATGGTGGATGAGAGGGTGGTGGTGGCGGAGTGGCAGTGGTAGAAGTGGTAGTGGAGTGGTAGTAATGGTGGTAGTGGTGACAGTGGAGTGGTAGTAGTAGCGGCGGCAGCTGTGGTATTGGTAGTGGTGGTAATGGAGTAGCAGTGGAGTGGTAGGGATATGGTGATGGTTGTAGTGCTAATGGTGGAGCGATGGTGACGACGATGATGGTTGTGGAATAGTGGTAGTTGTAGTGGTAGTGGAAGATGAGTTGGTGGTGGTAGTACTGATCGTAGTGGCGGTGGCGGTGGGGGTGGCAGTGTAGCGGTAGTGGAGTAGCGATGGTGATGACTGTGGCTATGGTGATGGAGTGGCGGTAATGGTGGTAGAGTCGTAGTGGTAGTGGTAGTGATAGTAGTAGTGGTAGTGGTAAAATGGCGGTAACGGTGTTAATGGTATTAGAGGAGATGGTAGTGAGGGTAATGGTGGAGTGGTAAATCCAACCCAAACACATGAACCCGCCCAATTGTACCCATTTAAATTCCATATAAACCCATCTAAATTTATAAATGGATTTAAATGAGTTGCTCATTATAAACCCAATATCATTTAAACTCATTTAAATGGATACCACTACCTCTACCACTACCATTACTATCGTTGTTGCCCCCACTTTATCATTACCACCACTCTACCACCACCGCGGCCACGCCACCACTATCACTATTACCATCACCACCACCACTACCACTCCAGCGCCACCACTGCTACTCCAACACCACCACCGCAGCCACTCTCCACCACTATCACTGTCACCGTCATCGAAAAAAAAAAAAAGCAAAAGAAGAAGAAGAAGAAGATGAAGTAAAGGCGTTGGTTGGGTTCATTTGTTCAACCTATATCTAATTCAATCCAACCCGTTTAATTCTATTTATTAAATAGATGAGTTTTAGTTGAATTGTTTTAAATAAATAACCCGTTTTGACCCTCCCAAACTCACTTATTTGCCACTATTAAGGTTGAGTTGTAGTGTCATTATTCTATCCATTTGGTTGTAATGAGATTGACTGAAGCTATGATGTGAGACACACATGACATTTTTTCAAGGACACATGTAAAATTAGTGTGGCTTTTGGAAGGATGTTTGAATGGGCTCCCTTTACTTTGTCTCAAATTTTTCATATTTTTATAGAGTGGCTCGGTCTCATAATTGTTCTATTACTTCCATAGCTTATTTATTTTTTGCTCCAATTTCTTGAAATTTCAATTTTTCTAAGAATCTCAATGATAGGGAGGTTATAGAGCTGACGTCCTTGTTGTCAAGACTTGATCTTTTTTCTTCGGTTCCTCTTTTGGAGGATAAGAGGGTTTGGACTCTTTATTCATCGAGTATATTTTCTTATAAGTCATTTTTTGACAAAATTATTGATAATTCTCAAGTTCCTCAGTTTCTTTTTTGTAAAAGAATTTGGAAGGACAATGTCAATATGCAAAGAAGCAAAAGGCATTTTGTCTTTTACATACAAAGCCTTCTTGGCATTCCCACATATATTTAGAAAAGATATTCCATTGCTTGAATCTCTTCAATATCCACATCATTAGTGATTCATGAATTTTTTTTATAACTTGATATCTAATTCGCATGACCGACTAATCAAGGGATTGATCTCACTATACATTAACGGGAACTTGATTAAAATCAGGGCAAAATTCAATATGAGCTGACTTCAAAAAATTGTTTGCAGCTTTAGAAATTTTATAACTTGAAATGAGCACACCCCAGGTCCAGGTCCAGGTCCTTAACTAATAGGCCAAACCCTTCATAGTACATTAATGGTTATGAATTTTTTTAAATAAGTTTTTGATACAACATTTAAGAGTTTTAGAGATTAAATTTTTTGATCTCTAAAAGTGAAAATTTTGTTACAAAAGACATTTAGAGACAAATTTTTATTATTATGAGAATAGTCGCTAAAAGATTATCTCAAAAAATCAAAAATAAGACTTTTAGCGACAAAATTTTAAAAATGTCACTAATAAATAGGCTTTTAGGGACAAAATAATTTGGTCTCAAAATGATTCATTTTTTGAGACAAAAAATTTAGTCAGAAAAGAATAACAATTCATCACTAATGTCCAATTTTATTTGCTAAAAATATAATAACACTTTTTGTAACAAAAATATTTGGTTACTAAAAATAAATTTATTCCTAAATTTTGATTTCTAAAATTTTAATTTTTTGTAACGAGAGTTTTGAAAATTTTATTTAATTATGAGTTTTGAAAAAAAATTAATTTTTTTTTTATTCAAATCATAATTTGAAAACCAAACCGAAAAACTAACTAACCTTTTCCAATGGAATCCTATTAATGAAAGAGTTTATCATGCTCTGGGAATCTTGTGGGCCACGTAATAAACACGAAGGGGTGAATTATATTTAGCCTCCGTTTGGGAAGTGGGTTGGCTTTTTGGCTTTTTGGCTATTTTAGCCTGGGCTTAAAAGCTTGGTTTGGGAAGAGTTTTTTGGCTTTTTAGCTTTTTTGAGTTTTTTTGTGAGAGAAGAATGTAATGATTATAGGTTGGATGTGATGTTTTGTTTGTTATGGCTAAAATAGCCTATTTTGTCTTTTGTGACTAAAATAGCCAAAAAAGCCCAAGAACCAACTTGCCAAACAGAGGCTATTGTCTTTGTAGTTGAAGCTTATATCATTTTAATATCTGATGTTTTAATCGTCATATATTTAATTTTAAATTCTAAATCTCATTTGAAATAAAGAAAATTAAAGATATGATTATTTAATTTCAAGGACAAAGTCATTAATTTGATAAAAATAAATGTGAAAAAATATTTTTGAATTTTAAAAAATTAATTCTACTCATCAAAGATAAATTTATATAAAAATGATAAATCTTTTGCATTTTTATTTATGTTATCAAATTAATTTTTAATATGTGTTTGAATGATAATTATACAATGGGTGGTTGTTTTTCTTGATATTTTTCAATGGTTATAATGTAATAGATAGTTGTATTTGTTGTTAATAAGTATTTTTTAATAGTTATCATGTAATGAATGGTTATTGAGGTTTTAATGTATAATCGATATGTTTAATATATAAAATATTTTTAGTTTTGAATTTTTTGATTTAATAGATTGGTTTAATAATGATATCAAAGTGGTTGCAATTTTGAATTTTGAAAAAATGGAAACTAATTTAATAAAAATAAATATCAAAAAATTTATTTTAAAAAATTATTTCTACCTTCCTAAAAGATAAAATTATATAAAAATAAATGTGTTTTTAATTTTTTCACCAATTTAATTTTTAATTTCTTAGAATTTTTTTTCTAAAAATAAATTCTAAAAACAAAACACAACTTTATAACTAAAAAAGTTTCAATATTATTCATTAAAAAAAAAGTCATTACATTTCAAACAACATATAAGTGAATAAATATAAAATAAATTATATATCTATTTTAGGGGTGGTTTGAGATAATCTAAATAAGTACACTTTTTGACTTTTTATGAAATATGAGTTGAGTTTGAAGTGATATGTTATAAAGGTGATGTGACTTAAATAGAATAGTGACTTTTTGACTTTTTTAGATCTGCCAAACAAGGCCTTACTCTTAAAATAGATCATTTACAGAAATATATATATATATAGCCATTTCATCCTTTTACATCCAGAGAAAACACTCTCCTATTACAAAGATATTTTGCTTCATCATCAATCAATCCAAAGTCACATAACCCAAACTACATAAGATGAGTGTTTTAGAAGTTATTATTATTGTAAGATATTTTAATTTTTGATTATTTTAGTAGGTTAAGATTTTTATATTTGAAAAGATGATTAGATTTTTTTATAATTAGATGTGAGGTTTATAAAGAAAAAGAATAATGTTTTAGAACACTAAATTGGGAGCTCTAGAGCATCACTAATGATGTGGCACAGTGGTCCCCACCAAAGTGATGTGATGTTTTGGCTTGAGTTTTTTTTTTTTTTTTTTAAAGCTCATTAGAGCTATTAGTGGTCCAAAAATTAGTGGGATGAATCACCACTCTTTTAATCTAAAAAAAATAAAAATAAATTAGCCTTTACCAAACCCCTCAACTAAAATTAGGAAGGAGAGGGAGAGAGATGGTTTAGACCTAAACAAATTCTCATTCGAGCAATTTGAATTACTCTTACTCAATCCATGAAGTTTAACTTAGATATGGAACAAAGATGTTCTGATGATAATAAGAACATTGTTCTGATCACAATGTTCTAAGTGAATCTTCATGCTCTAGTCCTATTGATGTGTCCACCAATCCATGGAAAGGAAAATAATCAACATGTTTTACGTAGAAACAATGTTCTTATTATCATCAGAACATCTCTGTTTTCAGATTCAAATTCATCCAAATCTGTCTTTAATGTATATGTGTGTATATATAGCTTTACTTTCTCTTGGGTAAATGCATATTAATGAAATTATTATAATTTAAATGCAGAATTTCCGTCTTCATAAAACAAAGAAAAAAAAGGGTTAAACTTTTGAACAAACTTTAGGGATTAAGATTTGACCTTGGCGACATGCAGTTGTTGCAATGTTATCCGTTGTAGAACTCACAAGAAGATTGTAGAAACCACAATTGTGTCCATTTTTGACAATTCATGTCTCTTTGGTGTTTCTCTCAGCGTAGTTATACTGAATTTGCTGAGTTCATCACTAAAACATTTATGTCCTCTTAACTTGCATTAGCATATTAGAAATATTAATGTAGCAATGAATCTTGATTAGACTTTTTATAAGCTTGGTAAGTTTGTGAAATGAAAAAAAATAGAACAAGTGGTTTGGGACCTGAGAACCACAACACTGTGTTCGCATACGATTTCAATTTCAGTGCTGAGCAGAGATTTGTTGGTCGACCTGTGGAAGTTTTTAAACCTCTCAAACCAACTCTGCTACCCAACTACAATGAATGAGTATACTGATTTTGATGAATCATAATTAGATCCTGACTGTGAGTTGCTTGATTTGGGCAATGGATTTCTTTGCCTACTTATGTTTGTCTAGATGTCTACAATGTCCCTCTAGTGTTAATATATGTTCTCCAATTTAATATGTCAGTAATTAGAGCATTTAGACTCAAAATTGATATTTTAGGGACCAAATTGAATAAATTAAAAAAAAAAAAAAAAGGAAAGTGGACCAATGGCTACAAATACTTTGGTCGATGCATGATAGGACTAGAGCATGAAACAGTTGTAACCATACTGCCTCTGGATTGCACTAAATGAATCATACTCCCTTTTCAAATTATATTTAGTGTAACACTTTTGTAACTGCAAGAATTGAATTTGAAAGTTTATGTTGCTCTAGAACTATAACATGCATTCTAAACATGGCCACTGTTTCGATTTATCGTAATTTTATATAAAAAAAATTAATTTTGGTTAGAATCATTAGCGACCCATTATGTCTTGGAATCCTGAATATAATGCTTCAATAGTTCACTTATCATTTTCTTTTCGAAGTTGGGTAACTTAAAATATAATGAAGTAGAATGTCCTATTCCTGACTGTAGTAAGTTGTTCGTTTTGGTGCAATTGATCCAACGCTAGCAGCCAAGACTTTATGTAAACTCTCGTAACCATCAGCTTCTCCATTTTAATTAATTTTTGTGAATGTGTATTGTTCTGTATTTACTAAGGTATCCTTGTATTTCCATGTAGTTCAAGTCTAATGGATGGATGTTTGATTTATCTTTAATTGAGATGCTTTAATTTTTGCAAATGCATACTTGTAATACAAACATTTCCGTCTCTATAAGTTTTATGGTTGTTGGTCTATCAAAGAACTGCATACCCAAAAAGAAAATCCTTAAAATTGTTAATACAAAAAGTTTTCCAAGTTCCGAATGGTAGTTTTAATATAAACATTGTGGAATACTATCCATTTCCTTAGCTATAATGTCATTTATATTACATCATTTAAAAAAGTTTGGATTAATATTCTCCAACCACAAATTGAGAGAATTAAATTATAATTATTGTGGAGGAATGTTTGTTTTGGTGATATAATGTAGTTGAGAAAAATAGAACGCTAGTGATTCTTTTCTAGAACTATGAAAAGATTCTTTGGAATCTAAATATTTCAGCATATAAAGCCTAAGGGTGCATTTGGAAATTTTGTCTTTGAGATCGGGTATGGGTCGTGATAAATTTTTTTATAATTTAGGCATAAAGATTAGTGCATATGAGTGTACAAAACAAATCAAAAAAGAAAAGTAAAAAAAAGTGTACAAAAAAATTAAATCTGTTTAATTAAATCAAAATATTTTGACGGTTCTTAATTTTTATCATGAATGTTAAATATTTGAGAGTAGTTATATGCGGTATGAATAATATAATAATATAGTAAGCAGTAAGTTTTAATTTTTAATTTTTAATTTTTTTTTAAAGGAAATAAAAATCAGTGGGAGAGGATTAGGTTAGAAAAATATATAATACTTTTTATCTTTCCTTTTGAAAATTATAAATTATGAAATTATTAATATTTTGAAAACTATTACTTTAATGGATTAGTCAATACTATTTTATAAATTTATTTTTTAATTTAATAAATCTACAAATTTATTATGAAATTTTGAAACTCTCACAAAACTCTTCACGAAAACTCGCTTTTGCTTATATAATATATAGCTAGATATATAGATGTGCCTAGCCTACATACAATTTTTACAGGCATACATACAATATTAATTTTGCTTATATAATTATATGGAAATTGAATGTATGCCCATAATGTCCTAGTGTATTACGGGCATACATTCATTGTATAGAAATATATGTAAAATATATTGAACAAAAAGGAGAAAATAAAAAAATAAACAAATTGAGAGAAAAAATAAAAACAGGAGAAAATAAAAGAATAAAAAGAAAAAAAAAGGAGAAAGGTGGGATCATGGGATCATGGAAGGATGTGTGAGAAAATGAAAAAGTAAGAGAGAGAAACGGGAAATTAGAAAATGTACATGTAGGACATTTTAAAAAAAATATATCTCAGTCATTGTTTTATAATTTGAATAGATCTGAGCCATCCAAATATTCTAGTAGGACAAAAATATGTTGAAGATTCAAAAACTGTCATGCTTTATTATATAGATGTTGAAGATTCATACTATGAAGTCTAAATTTATGAAGTCTATCAAGTATGTTTATTTTAATAAGTTTGGTAGAATTAAAAATATAAAATAATAATATCGATGACACCATTAAAATAAAGGGTAAACTACCAATTGATCTTAATAGTTGGACTTAATTCTCATAAAATCCTATTGAAAATAAGTCGTACTAAAATTATTGCTAAAAATAAGTTTTTGTGATAATTTTTTATATATGCCGATAAAAATTTACAATTAATAATTTTTTTGTCACAATTTTTTTAAATTGTCGCTAAAACTTACAATTATTAACATTTTTCTGTAACGAATTTTTCAAACCATCGCTTATAGTTAAAAATTAGTTACTTTTTTTGTAATTTTTTAAATTATCGCTAAAACTTATAATGAATGATATTTTTGTGACAATTTTCAAACTATTGCTAAAAATTAATAATTAGCGACTTTTTTTAATAGTGTTTGATAAAAAATATCATTAATTATCATAAAACCTATTCGACAATAAATCCACTTATTAAAATTTACACGTAAGATTTCCTAAAATTAATTTTTGACTACGCCACTGATTATGTATTATAGCATAACCCTAGTTTTAGAAGTCACAGTCAATACAAACATGCATGAATGATGATAATAATGAGATAGGTTTCAAGACTAATTGGGCTTTAGTTTAGAGATTTTAAAAACATTATAATAATACCACAATAATAACATTTATATATCATATTTGATTATTCATTCAACCAATGCAATTATAAAAATTGAGATAGTAAATCAAATGTAATCATTGTAGCATTTACTCAAAACCTCATCAAAATGTCTTTTACCTATACTCCAAACATAAACTTGTCTCAAGATATTGAAAACATATAAATAGTTTTGAAATCTAGGTAGAGGTAACTGAAGAACACATTGGGGAACTATAAAAGCAACAAAAATCTCCTCCCTTAAATACTTTGCAGAAAATAACACCTTCTAGTGTACGGATGAAGAACTTGTTGGCATTGGAGATGAGGAAGAAGGCTCCCTTCGGAGCTCCTTGACAACGGCAGCCAATGCCTCGGGATTCTGGCCCAGATCACAGAGGGCAATGAGGACAGAGAGGGTGTGGCGATCGAGCCCAGTGTCAAGAATGTTTGACATGTGAAATGCCAGGTCCAGAGATTCCCGGGCTGTCCGTGCGGCCTCTGGATCCATATGAAAAGACTGTAAAGAATTGTTTCTTTCTGGGAAGTAAGGTTTTCTATTTTGCAGCAACCTTACAAGAAGAAACCTGAAAAAATTAAAACAAAGGTCACAATACACATCCAGCTTGCTATTTTCAATCAACTAAATGCTTGTATGATGCATCTACTACACACACACCTGCAAAAATTGACTTCTGAAGAACAGTGTGTCATAAGAGGGAAAACAAGAAGAAGAAGAATGCTTTACTGTCAATGGACATGCAGCACATCAGAACAACATAACTAATAACCATGCTTTACTGTCCTATGAACTTGATGCATTTTACTGAATACAATGTGCCCAGAGTTTTTGAAAATTACACACAAATTCGGAAAGTGTAGAAGATTCACATTGAGGGTCCCAAACTTGGCAGAGGATTCTGGCAAGTAGATACATTATGAACCATAGAAAATATAGAAGTTCGAAATTATGGGCTTTTTCAATCAAAGTTTGTGTGATATATGCATAAAGGTAATGTATCTGCCATTGTTAATGTGATAAAATCCAAGAAATATATATAAAAAGAAAACGAATGAATAACAGTCTTGTGTAAAAAGAAATAGACACAAAAAATAAGATGGATTTTGCAGTAACAAGACTGTATTGTAAATAGAGAAAAAAAAAATGAGATAAGCTTTATAAACGTTTACAACTTTACATATGATGAAGAATTGAAAAGGCATTCTATAAAGAAACTTTCCATCATAATGTCATCAAACCAGGTATCATTTTTGTACAAGTTCCTGGGTTTTATACAAGTGAGGTTACAATCATTCCCAGTAACAACATGTTCTAAACCCGTGAAAGCACAGTTTAAAACCAACAATATCGCTTGGGATGGCACCCTCACTATTTCTCCTATAAGGTGTTCTGTCTTAACTCCTAAAACTCTCTACTTAATAATTACCATAACTCTGTTTATTATTATTAGAAGAAAAGATATCTCGATTAGAAAAAGTACTAGAATCAATCTCTCTCTACTCCACTTCTACTCACACCAAAATGAGTTTTACTCAAATTTTGACCCAAATCAAGAGAGACCCTTTGTTTTTTAATCCAAATTTCTAAAGGTAAATTGTGGTGGTGATATAACAGCTTTTAATTTTACAATTGTGCCACTGACCAAATTTCTATTGAAATTGGAGTTTGGTGATTGCAGTACTCTATATCAAATAAAGCTCTTAATCAAATCCAAGTAAAAATATGTGTAAGGGCTGGATATGGCCTTAGTTAACAAGAAAAATTCTAGAAACTTTACCGAATAAGTTTGATGAGTAGTCACATAATCAGTTTCAACCTTTTTTTTTTTTTTTTTTTTTCTTTCTTGGTGGAAACAAGCAGATTTTTTAGGAAACAACCAGGAAATTAAAGTTTTACAAATTGCAAACCACTCAGATTTACAAACAGAAAACCAAATCAGTGCACCAAGTCTTGTTAATATGACCTAAAATCATCTCTAATTCTTTCATCAAATTCAAAATTGATGAATAAAGAGCTAAAATTGAGCTCCAATCATTTCATCAAACTTGTATCAAAACAAGCAAAATTTTCACCAAATCAAGGATGAACCTAATTCTTCACCAAATTTCCAACAGTCATATTTTTACGCATGAAAATCTAAAAATAGTAAGGATTTGAGTGTTCTATTCCAGATCAATCAATCTTTCAATCAAATTTTCACCAAAATTTGATGGAAAAAAAGAAAGAATAAGAATTGGAGATGAATAAAAAAAACACATTTCATACAATTTTGACCGATGTATCGCACAAAACTCAGTCAGAACGGATCAGTAATTAGAACAATCAGAAAGTAGACAATGAATGTAAATATACATAAAAAAAAAAAAAGAAAAAAAAAAGAAATTATACTTTCTGTTGTGAGCTCACAGGAAAGCGATTCATGGAGAGAGAGAGAGAGAGAGAGAGAGAGTACCTGATTCAATGAGAAGGATTCGTCAATGGCGGCACTGGAGGGGGATCGATTGATCCGTTTTTTGTTTAAATGATAAAGATAGGTTTGATTTTTTTAGATTTGTAAAAATTATTTTTTCTAAAAAATTTCATATGAAAATATGAAATTAGTTTTTGAAACTTTTTTATAAAATAGATTTTAAAATCTCAACTAAACGTAGAGGCGTAAAAGGGATACAATATTACTATTGAAATAATTCAAGCACACGATTTTAAGGAGTAATATTTCTTTTTGACTCAATCTAATTTTTTTTCTAGATATTATAGATTTTTAGCATAAAATATTTGAGACTTTACATTGTTTTTGGTTGAGAGATTTGAAAAGAAAAAAGAATAACTTAAATATAAATAAAATATATTTTTTTACTTAATTTCACATTTATCTTCTCTTTTCTTTCTAAATCTATTTTTAAATCTCTTAATCAAACACAAAATTAAAATAAAATAAAAAAACCTCTTAATTTGATTTTACAATGCCATGGCAAACAAAATTAAGTATCTCACAACCCATTCCCTCTCTAACTGACAAGCCTCTCGTACTTGGAAAAGTATTATAAAAAACAGAGATGTTTTAGATAAAAATATTAAATAGGATATTGGGACTGGGGAGCATGTTTCTCCTTGGACTGACTCGTGGTGTGGTGAACAACCACTATGCAACATAACCCAAGGCAATCACACTGAGGACCTAACTAAAGTCAGTTCCATCCTTGATGATAATAGTAACTGGGACCTCACTTCACTTCATAACATGTTACCACAACAGACCATTGACATCATCCTTAACATCCATAGACCCAGGTATGTTATATATAATGACACTCCTCGTTGGAAAAGTTCCCCCACTGGTAAATTCTCTACTTCAGCAGCCTATCCTGCTTATCTAATTCTGAAACACATGGTGTTAATTGGCAATGGATTTGGAAATTAAAAGTTCCCCATAAACTGAGAACTTTTCTCTGGCTTGTCATGCATGAAAGACTGTTAACTAATCATATGCGACTCATAAGGAACTTATCAGACACAGACACATGCCCCAGATGCCATGCATCCAGAGAAGACATGCAACACCTCTTCAGAAGCTGTCCTAAAGCCCAGACAGTCTGGCTGATATTGAAGAATTTTACTTGGTGGCAGCACAACAATAATGCTCCCTTTCAAGATTGGATCAAAAACAACATCCATAGCAAGGACCGAGCCAACAATGCTAATTGGCCTACAATTTTCTTGACAGCTTTATGGGTTATCTGGAAAGAAAGAAACAAAGAGGTGTTTGATAATATCACACAACATCCTCACCTCAGTGTTAACTCCACACTACACATGGCTATGGAAACTCAGGAAGCTTTTCAAGCTATCCTCCACCCAAACTTTAAATATCCTAAACTAATGCTCTGGTCTTGTCCTATGGCAGGTCAGCTTAAGCTCAACACAGATGGATGCTCCAAGGGTGATCCTAGACAATCTGGATTTGGTGGGTTGCTCAGAGATGAAGTAGGTACCTGGGTTTGAGGGTACTATGGCTATCTAGGCAACTGTACAAGCCTAGAAACTGAGTTATGGGGCATATACAGAGGTCTTACCATAATCATGTAGAAAGGAATGGCCAACACCCACATCGAAACTGATTCCCAGCTAGCTATGGAACTCATTTGGGACGGAGCTGTTGCGAACTCATCATATCGGGCACTCATTGAAGATGCCAATTTCATCATCAAAAGATGCCAATGCACTATTGCCACAATACCCAGGGAAGCAAACTATACTGCAGATGCTTTGGCTAATCTAGGTGTAGCTCAACAGGAGCACTTCATCTTCCTAGAAGACCCACCCGTTTCTATTTCTTCTTTACTAGTTAATGACATGATCCATGTTGGATCAAGAAGGGATTCCAATATTCCACGACTTTAGTTCTGTAACATGTTATTTATCTTCAGTTGAATAAAAAAATAAAATAAAATAACTTTTTATTTATCATAAATTCAATCATATAAGACTCAATTTTTTTCACAAAAGTAAATTTGGCACGCTTTTAAAAGTAAACTTTGAATTTATTCAATTTATTTTTTTATGAATATTTTTTCAAAGTAAAACTTCAAGTTAAAAAATTTATATTTTAAATTTGAAAAAAAAAGGCTGCCTTAAATAATCAAATTAAAAAAAATAAACTAAACTCTATATTAAAAAATAAATTATAAAAAAATAAGCTTAAATTTATTTATTTTTTTATAGAAAAATTTAGAAAATTTAAATTAACACAAAATAGGAAATCTAATAATTCTACACTATTCCAAATAAAATACCGATTTCAAAATGTTAAAAATAAAAATATAGAAATTCCTAATATATTATCCCAGATCACTATGGGTTGGTTTGGAAAGTGGGTTGACTTTTTAACTTTTTGACTTTTTTGACTATTTTAACCTGGACTAAAAAGTTTTGTTTGAAAAGAACTTTTTGATTTTTTTGACTTTTTTTGTAAGAGAAAAATGTAATGATTATAAGTTGGATGTGATGTTTTATTTTTTATAACTAAAATAGCCTATTTTGTCTTTTGTGACTAAAATAGCCAAAAAAAACCCAATCTAGCTCAATACACAACTAAAATCAAGAGCATTCAGGTTTTATTTTTTTGAATTGTTTATTGAAAAATAGAAATAGGATTAGCTCAGTTGATCAGAATTCTTACACTGACCACTGTTGGAAAATTGACTAAAAGCTAAAAATCAATTTTTAACCTATTTTTGGTTGAAAAATGCTAAGGACCCTAAATATTTTACTAAATATCTCCTATAAATGTAAAACCCACATCATGTGAGTATTATGTAGATCCCACATTGATAAATCATTTGATAAAACATTTGGGGTATCTAGTCTTACTCTTTTGAGTTATATCATCTCTTTATTATTTTTACACATTTTAAAAAAAAAACAAAAAAAAAAAACCCAAAAAGTTAACTTTTAACCAACTCTCCAAAATAACTACGGTTAAAACACCAAAAGTTTGAGTATTGCAACATGCAAGATTTCTCCACACCACAATAAAGGGGTCTCTAAATTTCTTCGCATATCTTGCCATTTCAATTCAGAGCAGAATTGTGAATTGTCTTGACTCTACTAACTAAAATATAGCTCAGACCAATTACAATGTTTGATGAAGTATGGCTTAACATGATGGGAAGTAAAAATACATCAGTCATGCAGTGTTCCCAAAATGTCGTCTTCCCGATAGAGATGATACCTGAAACAAGTTCAAGAATTACATGTGTTAGCACCAAAAGAGTGGTTAGCATAACAAAAAAAACATATATCACTGAAACCTGTTGTAAATTGCAATGAACCATTAGAAGTAACAAGTTTTGCAATTGTTGGGTGCTTGTGATTTTCCAGAATAAGTTATACTTTACAAAAAGAAAAGAAGAAGAAGCTCGCACCAGATGCTTCAACAATTTGTAACATGAATATTTTATGCTCAATCTTTAATATCCAGTCGCAGTTACTATAAAATATCATTCATTCAAAACTTTATCTCAGACCTTGCCTAGGTGTATCACAAAGGAAAAAATGGAACATGAATCAGAGATAGCAATAGGAAATTAATAAAATTTTATTATCCCTAAACTCAATGTGAGTTTTTCTATTTTAACTTTGTTCACAACTACTGACAAATCCATCCAACAAGAAACTAAGGCCAAGTTTGGCAAGTTGTCAAAAAGTTACTCAAAAAGTTAAAAAGTTATCACTATTTACCAAAAGTCAAAAATTACGGCTGCACAACTCCCAATCCTAATTTTTCCCTACACACTAATTTATACAATTTTTTAATACACATTTTTCATAAAAAGTCAAAAAGTTAACCCAAACATCCATATTTTTTTCATCAATTTTTTAGTCCAAAAAGATAAAAAGTACACTTATTTAGGACACCCCAAACAACCCCTAAATAGAAAAAAGACTGATGAAGAAAAAGACAAATAGAAGAAGCAAATTGATAGAAAGATAGAAGGAAGATGACAAGACCACAGAAGAATACGATCTAGGATCAAAGTGGAAAGGAAGAGAAGCTCGGTGGGGGAGGAAACTTATGTGAGACTTTAACATGATTGAAAAAAAATCAGTGAAGAAAATGGTGTGAAGAAGAAATTCAATAGGAAAAAAAAAGGAATAAAAAAAAGAAGAAGAAGGATTGAAGAAGATATGGAAAAGATATCAATAGAGAAGATAAGGCTCATACCGGAATGAGAAGAGAAAACTCCATAGTTAAAAACTAATATATAATTGGATTGAAAATTTATTTTAGAAATTGCTCGACTGTGTTACATGGACTCGGCACTTTGGGGCGAAGTACCCATGTCGACTCGACACGACACGACACGACACGGGTACGGGTACCGGTACAGAATACGGACGGGATACGGCATGGAAGAAGTGGATACGGCATGGAAGAAGTAGATATGGCATATGGAAGTAAGAAGAAAGATGGCATACCTGGGATTAGGACTACGAAAACTGCGATTAGGGCTTCGATCCTGCGATTAGGGCTTCGATCTTCTTCTTTCGAACTGTCTTCTTTTCTCTCTCTCTCTCACTCTCACGCTCGATTGTTCTCTTCTTCTATCTCTTCTCTCGCTCTCAATCATCTTCATCTCTCTCTCCTCTATTTCGATCAACTTCGTCTCTCCCTTCTCTCTGTTTTCTTCTCTCTTTTCTTCTCTCCCTTCTTTCTGTATTCTTCTCTTGACCGTCTTCTTTTCTTTCTTCTTTTTAATTGGTGCCTATTATATAAATAATGTATAATATAAATTATATCATATATAATATATTATATAAATTATATAATATATAATATAATAATATATATAATATAATTTACCATAAATAATACATAATATAAATTACATCATAAATAATATATTGAGAACAACTCCTTTTCTTCCATCTTGAAAGTTGTCACCAACCAAAAAGTTAATAAATTTTCACCTTTTCACCTACCAATCAAAAGTAAAAAAAGCTACCATCTACCTATCAATTATATAATAATAAATTTAATTGAATAATATATAATAAAAAATTAAGAAAATCTATAAAATACATTATCTATTTTATATTTATTTTAACATAATTTGTTATTCCTTATTTATTATATTTTTGTTATTTATAATATATATGTCAATTAAAAGTAAAAAAAAAATTATATAGATAAATCAAAAAAATTATCAATAAAAGTAATACATAAGATAAAAATAATAAATATAATCATCATAAGCTTGGAAAGACAAACACCAGTGAATTCAGGAATTACAAGCACGAGATAATAGCCCAAAAACAATGAACATGCACTTACTCTTTTTCACCGAGCTTTACTTCAGTTCCACCATATTCAGGTAAGAGAACTGTCTCTCCTTCCTTCACGCTAACAGGAATCAGCTTTCCATCCCTATCATGAATGCCAGGACCCACAGCAACAACTTTTCCAGAGTTCAACTGACCCATCAAACACAGAAAAGTAAGAAAACTGAAAAGGAAACTTGGCAGATTAAATCCAAGCAAATGTACTCCAAAAGAAACAGGAACACGTTCTAAAATCAAGGAAAGCAATAAAAAAAAAAAAAAAGTCAATAATAAGGAAAATTTATAATGATTGCGCGTGATTTGGTAGCTGATAGAAGAGTTAAAGAGATCATCAAAAACCTGATGCTGAGAAGCTTTAGTATTATCACCCAAACAGAAAAAATAGTCCACTCATCCAAGCCTAACAAAATAACTTGGCTTAGCTTTAATTAACTTGTTCATCTACATACTTTCCCAGAAACACAAAAAGTTGGTGGTTGAAAATTAAAATTAATAATCATTTCATCCATAAATGGTGATCAATCCATCATTCTGCTGATTAATATTATAATGATAAAAACAAAAATGTATACTATATGATGAAGTGCAAATTAGTTGGACGCTATCGGAAATTGGGTGATGAATATAGATAAGTTATTATCATTTCACCCACTTATTGTATCTACCTATTATTGCATTTTTTATAATAGATGTGTATTGTAGAAGAGCCAAGGGGGCACCATAGGCTAGGTTTAATTGATCTTTGGAGGAATCTCCAAGAAGGGTCATCATATGACTGGTGGAGTAGATCCTAAAGAGATAACACTTCCTCATGAATTTATCTTGAATCGGGTCGGCTACATAATTTTTATTTTTATTTTTATTTTTTGTCATTCCACTCTGTCAAAGGCTATATGCTTAGTTAAATTAAACAAATTCATACCTCATTTTACTACCACATCTCATGTTAGTTTAGGTCTTTCTCTCCTCATCCTATATAACATGTCCTTTTAAATTTTAGTATCACATTTCATTTCAATTTAGTGTTTCCCACCCCCTAACATATCCTTACAGTCATATAGTTGTAATTTTAAATTTTGCATTCAATTTTGTTGGTAATCATGTAAGGTTGGCCGTGTCTCTTGGGAGAGATGTGGGTGGTGGCTCACATGCCACTTTCTGTCACTCGCGCGCAAAGCTTCCCAATGCTATGTGAGTGGGGTATTTGGTTTGGGTTATACTACCTAAATGGATGAGGTGACAAATATTGGGAATCCCATAACTTCCCATTCTCTCGTAACTCAACTACCTCCTGTTATTCACAGATGTTCCCACAAGGTAGTTACTCTCTTACCACCCCCACGTCTTTTAGGAGACGTGGCCACCAATACATCAATTACATAAGCATTCATCCACTTGAGCCAACCTATTTTGATTATACGGACCACGTCAATACATCAATTACATAAGCATTCATCTACTTGAGCCAACCTATTTTCAGTATACAAAACACATCCTACCCCTCCAACGTAATAATCTAACTTATGTAACAAAAATGGTCATCTCCTATTTTTCAATCT